TAGTCTGGCCTCTTGACCAGTGGAACATGTATTAAATAATGTTCCTGGAGGACAGGTCGGTCAATGGCTGTTAGCCAAGGTGCAGAGGCTCACAACCCCATGCTCTGGGAGTAAAAGGGAGCAGGGAAGGAGTATTGGGCATTGGGCCCCAAGAAAGTACAGTCTGTGCATGTGCAGCAGCTGCACATGTAAACAATTTGTAATAATCCTACACTTGTCCACAGAATGAGATTACTCTGGCTGACATATCCCTGCTGAAGTTCAACAGGCAAACGCAGGCTCAGCTTCTAGATGCGAGCAGGGGGAACCCCACTCCTTATGCAGCCAGACACTGTGCTGCCTTGATTCCAGATGCACAGTATGAAAATGATTTGGGAGAGTGTTGTACCATGGAAGTGGGGAAATGGCAGCCCAGCCATGGAAACTCTGTGAGAAACTTGATAAATACCTCAGGCAAAGTTTGGATGCCATCTCCCCGCAAGAATCTATTGATTTCTATGTGAAAGTCAATGCTCTGTTTGGACCTAACACAGACCCAGGCAGGGCATAGTCAGCTCACAGAAATACAGCCTCCAGTCGCCCTGCGCCACTGACCCTGCCCCAGCTGCAAGAGCAACTTCTTAAGCTTCCATCTGGCTGCAATTCACAGCAACTTACCACCCCGTGCTGCTGCCACCCACCCCACCCTACCCTGCTGCAATATATAGTGACTTACTGCACTGCATGTCCTCCATCTCCCCCTCCCCTGGCTGCACTAGAACAACTTACCACCCCACGCTGTTGCACCCTCCTTGCCCCCAGCTTCACTAGAGCATCTTACTGCCCTGCGTCGCCGCAGCCTCCCTTCCCATGGCTGCACTAGAGCAACTTACTGCCCTACATGGCACCAACCAGACCACCCCTGCCTGCATAGCAATGTACCCTGCGTCTCTTACCTACACATCTGTTAATGTGGCTGCAGAGCAGCTGAGTTCAAAGTACCGGCCAGAGTGGAGAATGGGCATTCTGGGGAACATGCTGGAGGTCACAACGCAACAAAAAACCTACCGTAAAGTACACACTGCGTGGTTGTCGACAATAAAGGGAGGGGAAGAGATCAAAGTGTTTTGGGGTATGTCTACACTAGCCACCCTACTTCGAATGAGGGTGGCTAATGTAGTCATTCAAACTTGCAAACGAAGCCCGGGATTAAAATATCCCGGGCTTTATTTGCATGTTCCCGGGCACTGCCATTTTTAAATGCCCGGTAGTTCAGACTCCCTGCCCGCGGACTACTGTTACTCCTCCTGGGAACATGCAAATAAAGCCCAGGATATTTTAATCCCGGGCTTTGTTTGTAAGTTCGAATGACTACATTCGAACTAGGGTGGCTAGTGTAGACATACCCTTGAAGAGGTGGACATTTTCTGTTGCCAAAACTGGGCATTTGTCACCACTTTTGTCATGTCAGTGTGGACGCTTTCCAGGTTTTGTCACCAAAAGGGAGTGACAAAGGCCGCTTTTCTGAGCAGTGTGCAGAGGCGGGTGGGGCAAGCAGGGAGTCTGCCTGTGGCTCCCTTCTGCATCTGTAGGCTGGATCTGGTGGATTGGTCGGCTGGATACGGCCCGTGGGCCATATTTGGCCCAGCCCTGAAATACAGTCTGTCTGTGGGCTACATGCTGCTAAATCCAGTCAGTGTTTCCTTCAAAGGAAAATTCAGGAAGCTTAAGATGACTCAGTAGGGGGCGACTTCCTCTAAGGAATTACTGGAGATATTACTGAATGCATAGTGTAGCTAGAAATGTCATCTTTCAAGCGCGTCCTGTCCGTGTGAATGTTAATATAAAAATCCCCTTGTACCAAGAATAGGAGCATTTACCCAGTGGTACCAAGTTTCAATATGAGTAATAACTCCCACCATGTTCTGCCTACTTAATTTTGCCCCTGCTATTTCATTCTGGGGTGGAATTCCATTTCTATCATAAACCGTCGCGCATCTTTGCTGTGCTTCATTCCAGAGTGCGCGATCGGAGAGAAGCCTGGACTTTTAACTGCAACCTGTGTGCATATGTGCGGACATCAACAGACGTGGGCATTTATTTATTTTTTTTGTCCTCAGTAAAAATGTTCCATATCCATTTCCTATTACATTAGAATGTTGTGAGTCTCAGAAGAGAAATGTGGAAAAATAGGGGCGAAATAGATTTCTTTCAAAATGTTAAAAGAGAGGCGTGGAAAATGGCAGGGCTGCAGACTGTGTCCTGTACACAAGAGACACCCAGGCATGCATCTGACGAAGTGGGTCTTTGCCCACGAAAGCTTATGCTCCTACACTTCAGTTAGTCTATAAGGTGCCACAGGACTCCTCGTCGCTTTTGCAGATTCAGACTAACACGGCTACCCCTCTGATACAAGAGACACCCTGAGACTGTTGTGCTCCAGCACAATTGTGAGTGGAAGTAACACACAGGCACAAGACAGGTTAAGTGCCTTAAGTGCCTGGCAGCCTTTAACATTAATTAGAAGCACTGTGGTCTGGCAGAAGGCCTGTTCTTGCCCTGCCACTGATCTTCTGCATTGACTGTGGGCAAATCACTTGATTTCTGTGCTTCTCTTTCACTGTTCAATCTTCTCTATTCAGGCTATAAGCCCTCCAGAGCAAGGATTGTCTTTCCTATCTTTGCAGTGCCTAGCAAAGAGCAGCCTACCCTAACATAAATAAGGAGAAGTAAATTTCAAGCTTTTTGAGCATGCCACTCCTTCATACACAAGAGCACTGGGGGAAAAAGAGATGTAGGCAGAGGAGAAATCATCCTTACTATGTAAATAAGGGGTTCATCTATGGGCTTCCATGTAAAGGTGCGTCTACACAGCAGGGCTTACCTCGAAATAAGCTACGCAAATTGAGCGACATCAGTTGCGTATCTTATTTCGAAATAGGGAGCGTCTACACGGCACTTATTTCAAAATAGAGCATTCTTCCACTCACTTCCCTTATACCTCGTACAATGAGGGTTACAGGAGTCGGAGTAAGAGGTCCTCCAGCTTGACTGTATTTTGACACTCAGAATAACTGCCTGCTGTGTAGACATGGACTAAATTACTTTGGGATAACCCTAGTTATTTCAAAATAGTGTTGCAGTGTAGACATATCCTTAGACTTATTTCTATTATAAAGCAGAGACAGAAATGTAGAAAGACCTAGGTGCTTTGCAAAAATTCACACCTTGAGTGCTGCATCCATTCTTGCGCAAAAAGCCTGAAGTGTAGATGTAGCCTTGGAACAGATATATGCAACATTTATCCAGTGCAGAATAAAGCCCTGGATATACCACCCCAGTGCATTTTCTTCCAATTAATCTAAGAACAACACAAATGCAGAACATGGTTAAAATAGGATATTTAGTTGTGTTATGAGCTTTTATTTAAAAAGCACATTTATACAGCAATAATTTCGCAGATACAAACTTCAATTTTGTATTCTACAAAAGTCTTTGAATATTCTTCTCTTTACAAAATGAAACATTACAAAAATACAGACAATTTAATATGATTTTTATACAATTGTCTCTAGTTGTAGTTATTTTCATTAAAATATTACTACCACAGACCTACAATATTTTAGTCAACTACCAAAAAATTAATTCAATGCTTTTTTAAGCAGCAAAATGTAAATAACACAGGTCAAGACACAGTTTATAATCATAGTGGATATATCTAAAAAAATTGTTTCAGAAATAATATTTTACATAGTTAATTTTTAATGTTTTATACATTATTTATATAATATTTATATATAAAAATCATAGCTTGCTATAGTTGAAATGATAGGACGGATTGTGTAATATAGATGTGCAAATGGCCATTCCACGTGGTTTGCATGTTCCCCTTTCAATTTAGCTTTTTAAAAGTTTTAAGATAGATCTTAAGTATTTGTCTTTAACTTCCATCAGAAAGCCAACAAGTCGAGAAAAAGGCAAAACTCTGATCTCCTTTACACACTACTGATTCACTACTGGTGTAACTGAGATCAGAATTTGGCCTAATATCTACTGAATGGCTTAGAACAAGACCCTCAACCGAGACTTTGAGGGAATGCTCAAAACTGTGAAATCCAGGTTAGGACGTTCCACCCAGCAGCCCGTCCTAAAACTGCAGGATCAATGTTTCCTGGGACTCAATCCCATATTCATAGTGCTAACGTATCTTCAACAAGATCGATCACTAACAACTGATATGACATGAACTCCCAAAGGTGGCAGCAATAACACAGAAAATCCTTCTGCAATTTATCAGGGTTAGGAGTAGTGAAGGGAGCCTTTTTGTAAATTAGGCCATTTGTTAATTTTGTGTAGGCTTGATGCCTCATAAAGCCATAATATCACAAGTGGAAATGAAGAGATTTGACTTCCAAGTGGATAATGGATTCATTGATGTTCAATTTGTTGCAGAAACACCTTGGATAGTGTTTTTTTAAGGTTGTGTGGTATGCAGGATTTTTTTAAAGTTGTGTAGTCAGGCACCCTTCTGACTTTTATGGCAAGCTTCTTCCGAACCAACATCACAGTATGGAATGGAGTTGAACAAAGCAATATTAACAAGAAGCGGGGAGGGGAAAGGAAAGCGGTGACACTGAGGAACCAATCCCAAATCTTGAATCAGTGCTGTTTCTTGCATACAGTGCTATATAATTTAGTTGTGAGTTTTTCTTACAGGCATTGGAAAGCTTCATAGTAAAAGCTAAAATGGCCGGCTTTACATAATCGTTTAGCGTTCACTATGCTATGAACAATTTGGGTTCACTACAACATGAACACTCAACCAATTGCACATCCAGAATTCCGGCACCGCTGTTTGTTTATTGTTCCCATAGTTGCTTTTGACTTTAGTTGAACAACACCCATTTCATGCAAATGTTGCAAGTGAAAAGGCCAGAGAGTAAGACCTTATTAGTCAGGCAAAAAAGTCTCTCCCTACATTCTACTGTCTGATGAGATTTGAGAGCAGCAGGTAGTTGCTGTCAGCAGTCATTTTTGCAACCAAAAAAAAAAAAAAGAGGGTTATGGAAGGTTGCAAAGGTCTACACCATATTGTGGTGATTGTTCCGTTCAATGATGTCCACAGGTGAAAGGATATCTTTCCGGATTGGAGGAGGAGGCAGGGAGGTCTTCATCTTGGGTTTGAAGAGGTCTGAGACGTAGAACACCTGCAAATATAATTTAAAAATCAATATATCGACATGTGATGAAGTATTCCTCAAATGCCATTTGACAGGTCATCAGTGAGAGAGTATTCGTGTTCTATTTTCCCATACACAAATTCTTTCAGGTGTCTTAGACTCAAGCTCTAGGCTCACAAGGTGCTGAACATCCCCAGCTCCCAAATGGGGCAATGGAAGTTGGGAGTTATTAGCTCGCTGTATGATGGGGCCCTTCACCTATCTATGGCTGTTTTCCTAGCTGTGGAATAGACATGTACAGTACTTAATTACCAGCCAGATAGGGTGTTGGGAGATTAAATAATGATGGCTTGGTATGAACTGTTGTGGGCATTAATAAATGATTGCACCTATATGCTATAAATAGCTTGATAACACACAACTTCACAGCACTGGCTTGAAAGTCCAGAAATAAAGAAAGTTTCTTGGGGCAGAGAGCATCTTTGGGTATGTCTAGACTACAGTTTTTTTTGAAAAAAGTGGCCTTTTTAAAAAAAAAAAAAAACTTCCCCTGCATCTAGACTGCTGCTGCGTTCTTTCAAAAGTAAATTGAAAGAACGCGGCAGTTTTTTCGACCGTGAAAAACCTCGCTTTACGAGGAAGAATGCCTTTTTTCGAAAGTGCTCTTTCGAAAAAAGGCGCTATGTAATGCAAACTGTGCTTTTTCGAAAGAGAGCATCCAGACTGCCTGCGTGCTCTCTTTTGAAAAAGCAGCTTGCCTTTTCGAAAGTACTGGTTATAGTCTAGATGCTCTTTTTCGAAAGAGGCTTCCAGTCTAGGCGTAGCCTTTTTGTTCTTGTTTGTACAGCTGCTCGTACTCTAGGTTCTGATCCAGGCACAGGCTTCCTAAGCACTATGGTTACACCACTTATGCTCAAACACCCCCTCCCAAATTTAAATCCTGCTTTGCCTGACTCACACAAGTAGCCCCACCGACTTAAAATGATCTCCAATGGGCAATTAAGGCCCTCAAGTTAAAACTGCTCCACGAGTGACTCTCTCTAATGAGTGATGGCTGCTTTCCCCTCTTCTCGTGACACATGGGCTACAAAACTAAAGTTTAGTCAGGATGACTGTCTAGCAGTCAGAGCCCAACAGAGAGAGGAGATATTCCTGAGTCCCCCTTTCCTGACTACCCAATGACGTGACCGCTCCGCCGGATGAGAAAAGGCCAGCGTTTGACAATTTAGGGAGGCAGAAACACAATAAGAAACAAAGTGCTGGGAGGAAACCTTCATTTCCTCCTTGGCAGCCATGGCCTAACCCTTATCAAGCTCGCATGACTGTTGCACTTTCTCCGTTACTAAACTTAAACCTGAAGCCAGCAAGGAAAACAGTCAGACAGTGTAACTCTCTGGAAACAGCAAAATGCACAGAGGACTCATCGTTGTTATTTAGCACCAGAAGTTGGCTATAAACAGTGCCAAAACTTAGTTACTGGTGAACACAAATGCCAACAAGCACCAAGGCTACCTCACAGCTGCACTTTCAGTAAGCATGTGAGTCAGAATTTACCAGCTGAGCTGAAACTTATTCTGGCCCTGACATTTAATAGCTGTGCACACATAAGGCATCACATTTCACTTTAGCCAAAGTGATACGGAGGATGAAATACGGTATTTTAACATTTATAGAATCATTGCAATGCACGGAGAGAAAGGATCAAGTATTCCTAGAGCATCTTGGAGAGGTCTTTGTGCAACTTGTTCTTAAATACAACCAGCGATGGGGATCCCAAAACCTCCCATAGCAGCTTATTAGTTCAGCACATAAGCCGAACATTGGCTGTGGGGGTGTTAATGTTCCCTTAAGGGAAGGTTATCTTTTAATAGTCCTTTATGGGATTTCTAACGCATTGGGTGGAGATGGGATACTGGCCTGGTAGGACCAAGTGATCTAAACTGGTATACCAAGTTCTAAATTTCAGTCAGGCCCTATTGGATGATAGCCTCAACATTAGAAATGTATTTGTATCTCCTTCTACTGCAGTTTTTGGAAGGGTCCTTGATTTGACTAAATAAAATGGAAAAGGGGTAAGATGCTTACATGAATAAGACCAGACTACACAATGACTCTGGCTAATCCAGGTGCAAGGGTAACTGAGACACATATCTGAGGATGGTGTACTGGAAGGCATTATATAGCAGCCCATATGCACTATTCACCAGTATTCCTCTTCCTTTTCTATATCTTTTCTAAGCTACTATCAGAGTCATGAAACCAAGTTACGTGGACAATTCAAATGAACCCAAAACTGAGAATTTGGGGGTTTGATTCCTTCACTTTTCCAGTTTTATTACTTATCCATAAATATTTCTCTGGATCAGAAAAAACATAAAGAGGACTAACATTTACAATTTTTTTTTTGTTCTGGAGTGAAGTGCTGGCACTCAGATGTCTAGCTAAATAACACTTCACACAAATCTGCTGATTAGACAACTAAATGCCAGGATTTGTGCTACAGCAAAATGAGGGAGTAAATTTGCACCCACAAAAACAGAGGTTTGGATGAGTCCTTTTAAAAACAAACGAACAAAAATAAAAATAATCTATCAAGAGAATGTATTACTATAAAGTATTTTTCTCTTTTTGGTTGTTAGCAAAAAAAACCAAAACAAAATAAATCAGTTATTTTGGAATATTTCTCTCACATGGCTAACTCCTAGGACTGGATGCAATCAGAAACATGTCCAACTTCTATACCAACAAATCCATGAAAAATAAATTTGTTGGAGGAGGTAAGTGGCAGTTGCTCCATGGAAGAGGTAGATGGGGATTATATTGAATGTGGCCCTTATTTTGTAAATTAGTAAGTTATGGATGAAGTATCATCTTGGGGTTTTTTCCCAGCCATTACTCTGAAGTTCATTGGTTTTGAAGGTTTAATTCAAATACTTGGTAGTCGTTTTAATTCCCTTTTAAACTATATTTTTCTCTAGCATGGCTTGAGGCTATGTAAACACATACAGGAATCATGAAACATGATCTTTTAGGGTCAAAAGAGTGTTAAATCCTGCTAATGCTTGAACTGTTTGCACATTTATTAGTCCTTTTTAATGTTAAAGTTTTTACTTGGATTTGTTCCACTTCCTGCAGAAGGTGCTCTCCACCCATAAAGAAAATTTGACATCAGAGAACTGGGATTGTACTATACAAACACAATATCTTATATTTCCATTTAATAATACTATTTATTTTCATCATATTAAAGAAAACCATACTCAGATACAAAATAGTAAAATAAACTAATATGACTTTTAAATGTTGACACAAAAAAGTATCTGGTCTCTTTAAATGGTTCCCCTCTGTCATAAGGGATGTAAACTAAGCAATCCGTATTAGTCTGTTATGCTGCATGTAAGAGCTATTTTGATTTTTGGAAATTCTCATCGTATTTCACTTCAGAACCAAGTAAAAATGTTTCATCAGCTGGAAGTGCTTGACACAAATGTCTTGTGTTTGTTATTTCAGGCAGGGAAGGACAAATGTGTCTGTTACAACTTTTAGCTTTGGTAACCCTTGGAGATGAAACACATAGCTGGCTTTCACGGAGAATTACAGCACGATTCCTACTACACTTAACAACCTTCTAATATCAACAGTCTGAGACTTTTAGTTCTTGAGTCACAGTTGCAGGCTGTTCCTCAGAAAGAGAGTGCTGTAAGAAATGATTTTTGAGTCACTCCTCTCTGACGCAATGTAGTAAGGAGTGATAAAACTGTGGCTAAGCAAGGAGGCCTTGAATGCCCTGTGAATCAAAGGTTCAGGACTGGCTTTCTCATCTTTGCCAGTTAGCGAGGTCCCAGCCACGAGAAGTGAAAATTACTCAGTGCATCTCCAGAAAGGTTTCCATGACAAGCTGGAGTATATTGTTCTATTAGCAGAGCTGATTATCTCAAAAAGGAAAGGGTCAGACAAAGAACTGCATAACTTGTAATGGTTGATATTAACTAGCTTTTTGAGTGTCCAGCTTTCAGAAGTGGGATGTGTCCATTTTGCAAAGGTGAAGCAGAATCCTGGGGGGAGAGAAGTGAGGGATCATTACATTCATGTGGAAATGAGGATGAGGGAGGGGCCAAGATCTGGTGGGAACATACGGTAAGATCCTAGTCCCAACTCATGCATTAGGATTGTGGAGATTGCCGAAGCCACAAGGTTTCAGCAGTGGTTAATGGGCGGGGGAGGGGGCACTCCAAGAGTCTGGTAAGTGGTCAAGGGCCACGCTTTTCTATGGAGGGGGTATGGGATCTGGGATGGAGGTTGGTGCAGAAGGGAGCCCAGTGTATAAAGACTGGGGTGCAGGAGAAGGTGTGGGGTCTGAGAGGAAGTTTGGGTGAAGGAAGGGGTTGTGACCTGTGGCAGAGGTTTGGGGTCCAGGGTCCAGGAGAGGGTATGGGTGGGTGCAGGAGAGGATTTTGACTTGGCGAGTGGTAGGAGGGGTTGCAGGGTCTGGGAGGGAGTTGTGACCTGGGGCAGGGAGAAGGGGGGGTGTCAGAGGTTTTGGTGGTGACCTGGGGTGCAGAACTGGGGTATAGGAGAGGCTGGGGTGTCAGGTGCAGGCTCCGTCTGGAAGGCACTTACCTAAGTGGTTTCTGGCCAGCAGCCCAGCGTGACCATCAGGGAGGCTCCCTGCCTGCCCCAACCCCAGCCCCAGTGGCTGGCTGCTCCTTCCATGCTGGGGCGGGAGAGAAGGCTTTGTTCGCTGATCCCATCCTCAGCACAATCTCTCAGCTCCCATTTGCCAGTTTCTGGCCAATGGGCTGAGAGATTGTGCAGGGGGTGGGGACAGCATGTAAAGCCTCCTCGCCCCCATATGTACGATACAGAGAGCCACATGGAACAGCCAGCCGCTTTGAGCAGTGTGGAGCTGCTCCATTCCTGAGGGTCCCAGGAGGGTAGTCCGCAGGCCAGACTACTTGACATATGTGTTATGGCTTAGGAAGGAATAGCACTGCTTTCCCCACTCTGTGCAGCAGAGCTGCTAACAGCATGATACTGCTGCTCAGCATTCAGCCAGACAACTGACCCTAATAAATATATATACAAGAACCAAGCAGCGTTCCCTCTAAGATTTTCCAACTATGAGCGGAGTGAGTTTTGGCTTGTGCACTAATACCGAGGCCATGAGCACTCATGTGGATGTATGCCACTGTGGCACCCACATTATTAATACACACATGTTCCCAGATGCCAGAGCAAAAACCTACCCCCCCTTGCCATACGGCAGGTCCCATTCCCAATCGCTGGAGCAGACCCTATCCTCCACCCCTGCGGCATGTCCTGTTCCCGGCCATCAAAGCAGAACCCCCCTCTCCCCGCCATGCAGCAGGTCCTGTTCCCAGCCCCAGCCGCCAGAACAGGCCCCGGCCCCCCTGCCACATGGCAGGCCCGGCCACCAGAACAGGCCTCCCTCCCACTCCACATGGCCCAGCAGAGTGGCTCCCTCACCACGCTGTCTCAGCCGGCTCCACCCGCTAGAGTAGCTGCCTGCCGCACGAGTGCTGCTGCACGGCTCTCCAGAGGAGGTGGGTGAGAGAAGAATTTTTTGTCCGTGGATGTGCAAGTGTGCACCTTAGTGGGAACTATGGAACCAAGTCTACGCTTGATGCAACTACCAGGGCCCTTCTCATCCCGTCTTAGCACAGAAAAGGCTATATTGGCAGGCTGGCCCTACAACTACTTTAGAGTGATATTCTAGAGAAGAAAGTCCCTGGGGGTTGGTGGACAGCCTTCAAGATGTGACTGGCTGCTAGTCTACAAGTGGTTAGCAGCCTAGCAGGAGAGGGAGCAAGAGAAAGTAAAGAGCTAGGCATGGGAAATTGTGTAGCCAGCCAATGAGAGCTGTTCTGGGACATAGTGGTAGGTGGGGAATGGATCTACCAACCCATTCTAAGATCTATGGCTATCAGTTGGGGTGAGTCTTACCCTAGGCACAGGGTGAAACCGAAAGCTAATAAACCCTAATATGAAAACAAATGCCTCCTGCTTACAAGAAAAATGTCTAAGGTAGGACTTATTAAGCCTGATGTTGGATCCCCTTTACTCATGCGACCCTTGACATCCTTGACAGTTTTGGCAGGTTGCTCATCCCTACACCACTGTCCTGATTCCAGCTGCAGGGAGCCCTGGAGCGATTTCCTGTGCTTCACAGGGAACAGCCTAGCAGCTATGTAGCGCCAATGGCCCTTACTATTAAAGGAGCTCCAAACCTTCTCCCCAAAAAGAAGAAAAGAAATATCGGTCCATATTGGACAAATACTAACCCTGGCCCTCATTGTTAAGCAATCGAGTTCAGGATTCCAAGAACCTTTTAACTGTTATTTGTACCTGGACAAATACGAGACAGGGGTTTGGGTCTGAATCTCATTGGAACCCACTTGCATCTTTCCCAGGCAGTAGGAACAGGGCAATGAATGACTAGTGCTCTCCCCACATCCGGGCTTGGAATGGAGGCACACAAAAGAGTACAGCGGGGTGTGCCCTGTGCTAGAAGGGAAAGACTAGGTCTGTTTGTGAAATAATCAGGCAGCTGCTTCCTATGGTGATTTACTTCGTCACAGGAAAATCAGCCTATGGGAGCCACATTCTCACCCGCCTCTGGGCACAGCACAATTTGCCATCTGTTAAAGGGTCAGGGAGGAGGCCACCAGATTTGCAACATGTCACTAGACAGGAAATGTACAAATGTCCGTCCTTAGCATCTGGATGCCTATTGTCTTTCAGAAGCCACTAATTAGATCAATAGTGCATTTCATCCTTTTATTGTGTTCACATTCTTCTTTCTCTCTACCTGAGATAAAGCTTTAAAGTGACAAAAAGAAGGCTATGTAGGAAATGTACACATACAAAACAGTCTTAATTATATACAAACTGGTGCCTAGACAAAGCCTCCTGATGTGATATGAATCACTGGACCTAGGAAAAGCTGCCTCGCTGCTCCAAAGGTTTGCCCAAGATCTTTTTGCTTCCATAGTGTTCAAAAGGGGATGGGTTGTTTCTTTAATTGGCTGAGGCTATGTCTACACTTTGGGGGTTTTTGGAAAAAAATATACAAACTGCGGTTCGCAATTTGCGTACCTTTTTCTGCTTGTTTTTTTGAAAGAGGCTTTTCCAACATTTGGTCCATCTACATGGAGCCAAATGTCAGGAAAGCCTCCTCTTTCGGAACATCCTTTATTCCTCATAAAATGAGGAATACAGCGATGCCAAAAGAACGCGCCCACTTTTTTGGAAACTGTTCTGAAAAAGTGGACGTGTTCCCTGGACACGGCAGTTTTTCTGGGATACTAGAGGTATCCCGGAAAACTCTGCAGTCTAGACACAACCTCATAGGGATAATAAAAGGTTTCCAAGGCTCTGAGAAATGCCATGACACTTGAACAAAAGATTTATGAACCATAATGATTTTGCTGCTACTGTGCATTAAAAAAGGCAAATTGAAGACGGAAAGTCACACACAGGAGTGGCCTATGTGGAAGACTTCCACCAATTCACCCTTTGGCACTGGTATTTAGGATTTGCCGACACTCAGCCACAATGTTGCATTGGCACTTGGGTTAATATTTTTTTAAACAACTAGACTACAGCTTTTTTTGGCTCAGATTTAGCATTTTATCAATAAGTGGAACATGCACAGCCTATTTTCCACTCCTGCAAATAAACCTCTAGTGAACTTTATTCCTTGCCTGGAGGTTTACTTTACTTTCAGATCAAGCAAAACAAAACGTGTGCAACCTTTTAAAAGCTTGGTTTTAGGAGTTTCTAAAGCCACATAATTACTTTAGTCCCCAGTCCCTTTGTTTCTAAACAAGATAGCTACACTGAAAACAATCACGTCATTACACAGAGCCAGCACCTCTCATTAAACGTTTACATGTGTCACTTTGAGTTAAAGGACTATGCAATCAGGTCTCTCTTTTGAAAGTAAATTGCATGAGAACAAGCCAGGCAGCGACAGACAAGCAATCATGGCTTTTGTAAACCATTTTCTCACAAACCTTTTTGCTAGACCAAAAAAAAAAAAAAAAAAGTCTCCAATCAAAAGAACAAACCCAAAAGCCACATTCCCAGGCAGGGGAGTTTTCTGGTTTAACTCTGAAGGGCATATAGCTGTCCCCCACTTCCAAGATAGTCTGCTGGGATCTTTCTGTACAGATCCTCTGCAAGAGCTTTGACAATGTACAGCCACCACCCAGCTTTCATCCACAACGGGCATCAACAAAACCAGGGGTTAGCCTTTGAGGAAAAACTGCTGCCACTGTTTGCCTGTTAGCCTCCCTAAACTGCACTGGTAATTTGCCTGGATTCAGAAGGGCCCTTGCCAATCAGTGAACATACTGACCCTAATGCTGATAGGGAAAAGCAGAACACAGGGGTTTCACTTCACATGCTGGGTTGGTTTTACATTACTCGGTTTCAAATGAGACTCTACAATTTATTTTTTTTTACACATGGGCTTTGATCCTGCAGATCCTTGGACAGTGCATTCTTGGTATCATTACTCATCAGCGCAAAGTAGGGGGAAGCCCTACGTGTAGTTGTCCTCATTGCAAAGCACTGTCCAGCGCATGCATGCCTGGTCCCTTATTTGCAAGGGCTCAGGGGTGGAGAACATGCAGGGCTGAGGACACAGAGGCTTTACCAGCTGTTAATGAGGCGCTCTGCTCTCCCCTTACCTCAGTGGTTTTCAGACTTCTTTTCTTATGCCCCAGTTGAAGAAAATTGTTGATGCCCACGACCCACCATAATTTGACTAGAGCGTGGGCTGCAGGGCTGAGGGTGAGAGTTTTGGTGTGAAGGAGGAGGCTCCAGCTTTGGGGGTTTCAGGGCTAGGGCAGGAGGGGCTTGCCTTCACCATCTCCTAGTCAACAGTGCAGCAGGGGTGCTAAGGCAGCTTCCTGCCTCTCCTGGCACTGAAGACCATGCTTCACCCCACAAGCAGCCAGCAGCAAGTTCTCAGCCAATGGGAGTGCGGAGCTAGGGCTCAGGGCGGGGGCAGTGCATGGAGCTGTTTGCTTCCCACTGCCCCCCTACTTTGGAACCAGGCTAGTTGCTGGCCACTTCTGGGGAGCAGCGCAGTGTGTGCTGCCAGAACAGGCAGGTAGCCTGTCAGAGCACCTGCACTGGCCACCTGATCACCCTGCAGCAATGAGACCCAGTGCCTGACATTCCACGACCCAGTCCCGGATCACGAGCCTACGTTCGAAAACCACAGCCTCACCTCATGTCTCACTACACACCCATGCCCACAGCAGAGAGAGATTTTTACAGAGGCATCTTGGCTTACAATGCATCTTCCACACTGCAGCCCACTCGAGAGAGCCAGCCCCCATGTGAATGTTAACTCTCAACAGCCCCAGCTATTCTGAAGCAGCTGGATTGCCTAACATGGTAAGTAGCCTCTGTCACAGGCTATACCCATCAGCACCTCCCTCCAGAGCTACTAGGCCATGCGTGCAATAGTAAGAGATGCCACTCACTATGCAATAAGCCACCAGGGCTCCTTGTGCAAATCCTGCCAGCACATCTGTGGGGTGATGCTTGTGGTCAGACACACGGGACAATCCTGTGTAAAACGCCATCATGATCAGAGTAAACTGCAGAAGGGGACGTAGCAGACGTGCTCCTCTCCACGTGAATCTGGCCTGCAGATATAACTAAGGAGAGAAAAGAAACAAAACGAAGGGGAGCATTAGTTTTACACCCTGGCCACTGTGTGCACAGCAACGTAGAACAACGGCACTGGCTAGCTGTAGCAATGGAGCGGAGGGAGGTCATTCTGCCCTCGGATGCTGGCTGCCACTGGATACAGCAAGAATTTCATACATGTATCCCAGGGCAGAAGTTGGTCCTTAGTGTGGTATGGGGGGAGAGGCAGGTTGTATCAAAGGCGACGAATGACTTCAGATCACAAAGGCTGCCCTGACACGGGTGCCCAAGGTGGTTGCCATGGCAGCAGAAGTGGCGGGATGCCAATCCAGTGGGGAGAGGCAGGGAGAGCTGGCTTTCAAGTCAGGCTGGAGGAGTGTGGGCTTTGAGCTAACTCCCACTGCCACCCCCGCTGCTGCCTCTACCTAGCTATCTTTTGCACCACAGCACAAGCCTGAGTCTGTGGACCTGGCATGGTCAATGGATGACCTCATGGCTGGAGGAGGCAAGCCCCCCAGCCCCGCCCCTTCTGCTCGAGGCCACGCCCACTACTATGGCCACTGCTGGCCTCTGCCCGCAATGGGGAATAAGCGCAGTCCCAGACCTCCAGGGAGTTGGTGGGCAGTGTGGCTGCAGCATGCCCTGGCCCCCGGAGTGCCAACAAGCAGTGTGGCCCCAGCCTCCCCTGACCCTAAAGATGAGAGTCAGGAGGGCATGGTCCTAGCCTCCCTGTGCTGTGCCTGCCAGATTCCTACAGAAAGCACGTCCCTCCAGCCAAGCTACCGGTCCCAGCGCTGGGAGGACAGGCAGTGTAGCACATCCCCCTGCCTGCCTGTCCCAGCCTCTGCCTCCTCAAGAGCAGGCTGGGGGAGAGAGCCTGGGCGACTCCGGTGGAGCATGGGTGGCACCATGGATGGGGGAGTCACTGGGACCTGCACCCCCATCTGCAGTCAGATGTGACTGTCAGCCAGCAAGTAGAACAGAAGGTTTGTTGATTCGCAGGGACACAGCGCAGCACAGACTTGCTGTTACAGGAACCAGGAGTATTCAGTGCAATCCATCTGCCCAGACCCCCAAGCCAACTAGGCTCACTTCTCCTTAGGCCAGCTGAAAAACTAACACACACCCAGCAACTGGTTCCTAGCCCTTTAGGCAGCCCCAAGGCCAAGGTGTTATCTGACACTCACTGGTTGCATCTTCCCCCTAGGAACAGGTGACAGGATGGCTTGGGCCATTCCCTACCTGCCCTCCCTCAGCACTTCTCACCCAAAGTTCTCATCCCACGGTGGGCACCAGACACACAGAGTCACAACAGAGCAGCACAGGACAGTAGGAATCACATACAGCATAACAAAGCAAACAGTGCAAACACGATCCCCACTACATCACACTAGGTGAGGCAGTTTGGGAAGGCATTACATTCCTCTGCTTATGCCACCCACCAGCCCTGGGACCTAAGCACTGAGATTGGCTGCTGCATTGTGTAGATGGACCCTACGAGAAAGCAGTCCACACCAGTGACAATGTTCCCTCTAACTTTTTCCATCCATGTACCGAATAAATGTTGTTGTGGGCACTGAGGCATGTAGAGATGTGCACCACCAGCAGACATATTATACTGCCAGCTGTGGGCAGATGCTCTGCTGATCAGCTGGGAGGCACCTGAATACCTCCTGAGTGGCCACCCAAGCGCCTAGCTTATAGGAAACACTGACCATTGAGTACAGTATTTCCAATTCTAGTTCATTTTGCACAGACAAGGCTTCTGAAGGTAAAGGGTAAAAACACAATTCTATAACATTTTCCAAGCCGAGTAGTGAGAGTTCATATTAACATTGTTGCTTCTATTTAGCCAGACCCACAACTAGGCTTTGCAGAATTCAATTTTTATTGTAATTTCATAATTCCAACAGACAATATTGATGTTTATTTCTAAGCATTTTCCCAACCTTTATTTACATTTTCAATTATGAACAAGTATAGGATTTAAGCATCTTTTCTATAATCAATTTATATTTTTACAACTGTGGGAAATTAGGCATTGGCATGTCAGAGAAAAATTACTTAATACCAGTGTAGAGATATTAAAAACAATTAACTTTATAACCACTAAAGTGCCAACATCATGTGCTGAAATATACATAGCAAATATTCTTAAATCAAATGCTGATAGGCAACGAAAGAAAGTGAGAACTTATCAGCCAATTTCTATCATTACTGGAAATGTTTTTGTCACTTTGTGTGGATACCATGAACTTGACATTTACCAACATTCACGAATAATAATAAAAAAAAAAAAGCTAATCTGAGAGGGAGGCAAACTGCTTATCTAAATGCAGGAACACTTCAGCTAGAAAAGGCTGATGACAGTTGTGCATATATCTACCTCCTTCAGTCTGTGCAAACAGGATAATTATTAATGATCTCACAAGCCCTGCTTCAGAATAACTGGCATGTTATGGTGAGGTCAGCGCGCACTCATGCTCACACAAGCAGACCTATGAGCTATGTTGGGGCTATTCACATCAGGAAAGACTCTCTCTTTGCCCTGAGCCTCGATCCCTCAGCATGCAGAATTCTGCAGCGCCCTAGTGTTATAGAGAGGGGTATGTTTGGGCGTGGGGGAGGGAAATGTTATTACACTTACAAGGGGAAACAAAAAGGACTTGACCTGAAATGAAAAAGTTGAAGTGACGTCAAATGGGTATTGTCCCCCCCCTTGGTTATCTTGAGCTTTTTTTCTGTTGCAAAGGGTGGGCACAACCTACTTCCCAGGTTCCTGTGGGAACTGGGGAAACCAAACGGGAAGAGACGACAGGAAAACTGGAACCTTCAGTCCACAAATCAAAGTTGCTTGAGGCCGATCACCCCCAAGGCCGAGCCAAGCGGAGCAGCGCCCTCCCAGAAAGTGTTCCCTTCCTGTGCATGCGTGAGGAAGTGGAGACAGGGTGGGGTGGGGAGGACGTAAAAAGGATGTAGGTCAGGAAGTCATAGCTCTGTCTGGGGCGGGAGAAGGGAAGGAAGGAGGGAAGATTGTGTGTATCTGGAAAAGGAACAGGTATAGCAGCTTCTTCTTTAACACTTGCAAGAAAGCTAAAAAACCCTCTAACTTCTAGAATTGCAGCCCAGCTAAGCATCCTGCTAAGCTCATCTGTCCTTACAAATGAAACAGAAAATACAGCTAGTAGCCATCTGGAAAAGACTTGGTGACTGAATAAGATTTCTAGGCAAGACCCTCTCCTGGCAGAATGGTGTAAAGTAGGTACAGCTCCAGGTACAGCCCAGACCAGTGAGCTTAAACACCATGCAAAGGCAAACCTATAAAGTGGCTGTACTAAGTGATTCATTATGTTGTATCTATTTCATAAACCTTTTATTTGCCCCCCTTTGGAAAAAGTACAAGGCAAAACATTAAGATGATATGAAGAAACATTTGCACCAGTCTAGCAGATGCTTCACATTATCCAAATTGGTAGCCAATTATGATTGAATAGAGCAACTCCAAGCCAGTTTGGTGCTGGCCAAAGTACATTACAGAGTCTATGGACATATCAACATATATTCTGGTGAATTCACTCCCACACATTTGTACTTCAGTTTTGAATAATAATGTATATGCTAGAAAAAGAATTAATTAATCATAAACACATTTTCTAAACACACTGCATCTGTCATCCAGAAAGATTTAAAAACACTGCTCAAATTCAAAAACACATCAGATACTACTAACATGCAGCCATCTCTGAAGTGGGACACTGAAGCTGTTTAGTAGCCCAGTGCAACACTACATAGCAATTGAAAACTATTTTACTCTGGGCACATCTTTATTCACAGAAACAGCAATTTCCATGTGTTTCGTTAGCAGCAAACTGGCTTCTAAATTGTTTTCAAATATCTTTGTGCTCATTTTGAGCCAAATTCTGATACCCATGGGTCATAGTAAATAGTCCTTTACTCCTTAAGCAATCAATTGATGGGAACCAGTTGGGGAGATAAGATACTATGGAACAGGAGTTCAGGGGCTCTGGATCTGCTTCTTTATTGTTCAAATGCACTTTCTTGATGTTTTTATACAGAGATGATGTTGCCCCTTTAAAAGTCTACATTTTGGGAGTAAGGGTGGCAGGTTTTAAATCAACAGAGGGATGCCAGCTATATTTGCATTGATACTGATATTCAGACGTAAGATTGCAGTGCAGCATGCACGTCCCATACAATGCTCCTCCACCTTGCTAATTAATCGCAAGAGCTAATTTCATGCTATGTTATTCCAGTTCCTTAAGAAAAAGGTTTCAAATGTTTCATATATCCCCTTTTGCATACCATTGTGAATTACTTCTCTGTCCTCTCCTCAGTGCAGTCCAAAGGCTTTGATTAAAAGTTCAAGCAGAGTAGAGAAAACGAGAACTGAATTTAAAAAAGACCATTTCAAAAAGAACATTCAATTTAAACAGAACACAACCTCAACAGTGACAAACTCCAGACATTTGGGGGGGTAACATGAGAAAAAATGGCTTACAATGTACAAGTGCAGCTGTTTGTGTGCCCACCTGTTCAGAAATGTGCTATACACCAGGCATTGCATGCACAACGTTCAGACTTGTGCATGTCCTTCTGTAAATATGAGACAAAAGTAATACATGCCTATATTGGATAATCAAGACTGTTAATTAGGGACGTGAATAGATAACCAGTTACCCAGTAAGCATCACCCTTACTGGGTGATATTTACTAGCTAATGGTTAACTGGTTCCCAGGAGCAGTCCCCCTGCCCCGCCCGGTCCACCACACTGGCGCAGGCCCTGGGCCACGGAGGGCTAGGAAGGAACCAGCAGCCTCCCTGCCGGCATAGGGCTGGGAGCCAGGAGAACTGCAGGTTGGGGACTGCTCCAAACTGGGCCCCCGTTTAATCAGATAACTAGTCAAATTTAAGGTTTACTCAGTTAACTGATTAAACGGGATTTTACATCCCTACTTCTAGGTGGCCAAGTTGCATGCATGTCAACAC